AAAAAAAAAAAGAAAGAGAAAGACTATAAAAACAAAAAAGAACAAGTTGGGTGTGGTGGTGCATACCTGTGATCTCAGCACTCAGGAGGCTGAGGCAGGAAGGTTTCGAGTTTGAGGCCAACTTTTCTGGATAGCCAATTTTCTCAGCACCATTTGTTAAAGAGGCAGATCAGATGGCTGAATGTGCCTGGGGTTGCTTCTTCTTCCTCTATTCTGCTCCCTCGATGCACATTTGGTTTTGTGCCAGTATTGATTCCTGTTTTGAGAACAGATTAATAGAGCTGCTATGGATAATCATGTGCAGGTTTCTGTGTCGACATCAGTTCATCAGATCAAAAAACTGAAAAAAAAAAATGCCAAGTTCACTTTCCGAGGAATCCACACAGAAGACAAAATATGATGTTGTATAATCTCTATAAATCAGTTTGTTGTCAGATCCTCCCAATTCATAATCCTCCTTCTAGCCAGCCATGGTGGCACACACCTGTAATCCCAGCACTCAGCAGGCTGAGGCAGGAGGATTGCTGGGAGTTCGTTCAAGACCAGCCTGGACTACATAAGTGAATTCAAGGCCAGCCTGCACTACATAACAAGATCCTGTCTCAGAAAAAAAAAAAAAAACCAAACCAAACAAACAAAAATTCAGTTGACCATAATCTTCCTCCTAGGAAATTACAAAGATTCTCATCCCTCTTCAGTACCAAATAGAAAGTCTCCCTGGTGACTGCTACTGGGTCTCTTCACTGTGGGGTGGGTAGAACTTGGAGAGCTGCTGCTTCCCGTGGTTGTGACTTTTTTTTGTTGTTCCAGGAATCTGAACATAGGATCTTGCACTTGCCAGGTGGGTGCTGCACCGCTGAGCTACATTCCAGGACCAGGAAGTAACATCTTATTGTTGCTTTAGTTTGTAATTTCCTAGTGACATTGGATATCAAGTACCTTGTCGTAGGCTTTTCTCATTTTCAGTTTTTATGTTCTTATTTCTTTCAGTATATTGGTTTCTCTCTGTGCCTTCCTTTGTTACTCCCGCTGGCAAGCCTGAGAGAAGCCCTATATTTCTCTAAGGCTCTGTTTATCGTTCCTCATTCTGTTTTTTTCTGTCTGCTGTTCAGATTAATGTAATCCCTGTTGGTCTCTCTTCAAATTCATTGATTCTTTCTTCTACCAGATAAAACCTGTTGAGCCCTTCTAGTGAATTTTTTACTTACCTATTATAACTCTGAAGTTTGGGCAGGTCCTTTTGGTTCTTTTCTGCACTGTGTATCTCATCAGTATGCGGTTTGTTTGTTTGTTTCTTTTTTTAAAGAAATGATAAAACCCAGGGCTTTCACTGTTCATTGTATCCTCAGCCTATGTTTTATTTTGACACAAAATCTCAGTAGGTTGCTAAATTACCAGGTTGGGCTCTAACTTGCGGTCCTCCTGCCTCAGCCTCCCAGAATGCTGGGATTATAGGCATGAATCACCCCACCCGGCTGGAAAGTCTATTTTTCTTTCAGCATGCAGCCTGAGAACTCTATCTCAGATTTTCCCCCTTGTTTTCATTTCTAAGCCTGGCCACCTAGGGTTGCCCCTGGGTCCACATAAGTCAGTTGCGGGTTATGATTCATTCTTAAGTTTCACCAACCATTTAGATTCCCAGCTTTACCGACAGGCTGAGTATGTGGCTTGCAGGCTGCTATTTAGAATCAAAGAGTTTATGTTTCTGCCCACATTCTGGCAGAGACTAGTAATTTGCAGTTTCCCTCACTGTCTATTCAAGAGACAGCACAGCCCTGTGTGTAGTCATCCTTGCTGCCAAGAACTTGTGTCCCTTCCCTTCCCTTCCCTTCCCTTCCCTTCCCTTCCCTTCCCTTCCCTTCCCTTCCCTTCCCTTCCCTTCCCCTCCCCTTCCATTCCATTCGTTTCCTTTCCTTTCCTTTTTACACTGGGGATTTTTTTTGCCGGGGGGTGGGGTGGGAGGGTGGGGGTGTGTGGAGTGCCTTTTTAAGATAGGGTCTGGCTATGCAGTTCAGGCTGGTCTTGAGCTTACTTTGTAGCACAGACTGGTCTCGCACTCACATCCCTCCTGCCTCAGCCTCTTGATACTGGGATTACAGGCATGTGCCACCATGCCTGGCTACACTGGGAGTGAGCCAAGGGCTTTCAGACTGAATTATAGTCCCAGACTTTATTTGTGTGTGTATGTGATCCTCCTGCCTCAGCCTCCTGGAGTGCTGGTGTTACTTTCTTTTAAAGACTGGCTTCCTAGGAGTGGCCCCTGGGTCAGTGTTCAGTGCCCCAGGGAGGCCCTGCCCTGTGTTGAAGGGTCTGGGAGTGTCTTAGAGATGTTTTCAAGTCTGCCCCAGGTCCTGCCTTGACTGACCCTGAGTGCCTGCAGCCTTGCACCACCGGGTCAGATCCTTCTCAGCCCCCAGGGCCGATCCACGGGGCTCTGGTTGTCTGTGTGACATTTCTGGCTGTTTTACTATTTGTTGATATTAATGTCACGGAATTGCGCATACTCTGTTACAGCTCTCGCCAAGAGCTCCATTATGTTGCACAAAGCTCTTGGGCATGGTTCTAAAGAAAACCGGGTCCTGCGGGCAGACCCTTGAGCTCGCTGCTCTGACATGTGCAGTTAGGGGCTGAGCTCTGTCCCTGAGGCTGTGAAGCTACTTCCCTGCGAGTGTGGGCTGTCAAATGCCACAAGTGTGGCGCTTGACAAGGTTTCTAGAATGAATGCTTCTCCTCTACTGTGGATACATTTAGAACAATTTCCAGACTTTAAACAACTGGGTGTTTTGAACAAATTTTTAAATTTTTTCCTATTAATGATTGTTTCTTTGGAAAGAGGATCTAGCCGGCTGTGGTGGTGCACACCTGTAATCCCAGCACTCGGGAGGCTGAGGCAGGAGGATCCTTGCAAGTTTGAGGCCAGCCTGGCCTACAAAGTGAGCTCAAGGTCAGCTTGAACTGCACAGCAAGACCCTGTCTCAAGAAGAAAAAAAAAGAAAAAAAAGGAAAGAGGATCTACCAGACTTTTCACTCTGTGATGTTAGAAAATGGTACTATTGAGATTATAAAGGATAAAATGTCGGGCATGGTGGCACACACCTGTAGTCCCAGCTTTTGGGAGGCTGAATGAGAAAGATTACTGTGAGTTCAAGGCCAGCCTGGGCTACATAGTGAGACCTTGTCTCAAAAAATAAATAAATTTTTATTTCATTGCCAGGTGCACTGAAAGAGCCTGAGGTAGGTGGATGACAAGACTGAGGTCAGTTTAGGGAATTTACCAAGACCCCATCTCAAAATAAAAAGGTGCTGAGGATATAGCTCAGTGGTAGAGCACCCCGGGGTTCAATCACCAGCACTAAGAATATACATACTATATACTAACATACATATATAACCAGGCATGGTGGTACACGCCTGTAATCCTGGCACTCAGAAGGCTGAAGCAAGAGGACTGCCACAAGTTTGAGGCCAGCCTCGGCTACATAGTAAGTTCAAGGCCAGCCTGAACTGCATAGCTAGACCCTGCCTCAAATAGACCAAAATAAATAAATAAATAAACAAAAGCTCCATATAGATCTGTTGATTTTCATTTTTGCTGTATGAGTGTGGCGTATAAAATTCCTAGTTCAATAGCAATCTTCTAGGGGCTGGGGATTTAGCTCCGCGGCACAGCGCCTGCCTGGCAAGTGCAAGGT